AAGGAGGTCCAACATTAAACCCTAACCCCCTAAGACCTAAACCCTAAACCCCTAAACTCTGACATGATTTGAATATAGACCTACTCCGGCCCACAAGGATTCTGTTTAGGGTTTAGGGGAAAGGGGTTTTTGACTCTGACATGTGTTTGTCCTCCATCTGGTCGAACCCCTGTCGTCCCGTCCCCTAGTATCAGATTAAACGTATTCTCCCTCCCATATGGAATACTCTTTCTAAGGGGCGGGGGGTTAGCACTTGGGGAAGGGATGAATCCCCTAAAGGTCAAAACGCCTGTTCTGCTTTTCCAGATTCTTCAGTCACTGTGAGAATACTGTGTTTTGCTCAGCACCCCACAACTACAGTGCCCAAACCCTTAACCCGAAACCCAGTTTCCATTTTCTTTTCTGCTATATCATATCTATACAACCCCCTATCCACTTACGGGGGACTATCCTGACCTGAATCATGGGGAAGGTAAGCTCGCCTCAGGTGGTTCATGTCTGCTGTGGTGGCGGCCAGCAAGGGTGCACTGGTGCAGTAACAAAGGAGGGGGCGCTCTACACCTTTGGAAACAACTTCAAAGGCCAAAGGGTTTGGGGTGTCAGGGCTTGGGCTACAGGAGTTGGAGTTTTAGGATTCCTGAGCTTTCCATAGGGTTCAGGATAGACCTTTGTTGTTTCGACCTCTGAGGAGTATTTCGCAGCTTTTGGGTAGCTGGTCAGAAAAACAGATACGAAACAGGTGCTTGCACATATGCCTTATTCCCGCTCCTCCCACTCCTACCCCTCGTCCTCCTCTTGCTAATCCTGCTGCTGCCATTGTAGACGAGAAGTTGGGGTACTAGTGGTGGTGGTAGAAGAAGCAGCAGCGGGCTTCAGTTTGCCTTCTACACGTGCATATGGGTGCCCCTTTTGGTTATAGATTATATTACGGCACCTGATATTTAGGGGTGCCAAAACAGGACCTTAACTGTGGGCACTACCCATATTACTCAAGGCTTCCTGAGTAAGAGTCCTGCCATCCGGCAAGGGCGATTGGGTCACGGAGATGGGCCAAACGTGACGGAACCACGTAGCGCCTGGGTTTGGGCTCTTTAGGGTCTTTAGGGTTTGGGATTTTGAAGCTTTTGGGTTTTGGGCGAGGAGGCTCAGGGTATATGGGGGCTTAAGGCTTAGGGTTGAGGGTAGTAGTTTCCATTTTCTTTTCCATTATCCCTACATTCCCTATATACCCCCAATATGACCTTAACATAACCCCCATATAAACAAAATGCCAGGTGGTTAGGGCTCAGGGTTGAGAGATAAGCAGGTCTGGGGCTTGAAGTGAAGCAGTTCTGGGCTTTTCTCGGAATTCCCATGAGAGTCACCACCTGCACCGCCAAGATATGAGGATTTGAAATTGTTATCCGAAGTCACTGCTCAGCGTTTATGTTTTAGGCTGAGATTTAGGGTTTAGGGTTAATTTATGCTTCAGATGATGATATATCCCTTGCAGATTTTGAGTACAATTTCGTGGAGCATGTTTCACTTAACCTCCGAGACTCCCCTGGCCTTGTGGATTGCCTGCTTCTCAACTCATGTGTTGAACGCCGTTCACCAGGGATGTGCTTCGTTCCGATACACGTGAGCGGCTTTGTCTGTCGACGCAGGATATCAAATTCAGGTCCCTTATACATAGTCCCAGTCCCCCTTAAGTATATGAATCTGGCGTTGCGTATATTATGACACGATCCGCATATATCCCATATTCTATCTATCTAAGGGGGACTATATCCCCAACGGAGTTAATGTCTCGGTGGATCCTCAGACAAAGCAGCTACAATGGGCTTAGGGTTTAGGGTTTAGGGTTATAAGCAGTCCCCACGTGACTTCTGCTTTGCTGAGGAGTCGAAGCTCTGGCGGCCGAGCGGGTACTGATGTCTGCTACTTGGCCTGGTTGCCTCCTTGCTAAGAGGGTCAGGGGGACTCAGTCAGTCTACATATAACCTCTAAAGCCCATAAAAAAGGTGAACCAAATTATTAATCTGCTTTCTAAGTCCCCTCGATCCCCGAGTTAGCAACATGGAATCCCGAAAGAGGTTTCCAACGAAAGGACCGGGGTCTCTGAAGGTGTGTTCCGGGTTGGTGCGGGAAAGGGTAGCAGGGGGGGCATCGGAATTTGTTACCTTATGCCAGGGATTTGGCTTTTATCGTTAGCATCGTCCCAACGCTGTCCACCCTAAACCCTACCTGGACCCTCCAATGTAGTTCTTGTTTGGGTTTGGTATGGTTTTTGGCTAGGATGCTTATTAGGACTACCAAAAATGTTCTACATTGAATAGTCTCGGTAAAAGCTGTCCGAAGGCTCCCCTACCGACTTGGGCTTGTCTCTTTTGTTGGCACTTCCAGCTCCCGTATGTCTGTCAGTGTATTTGACAATCCGTTGAGCAAAGGGACTTTACTGGGAACCCCAAAACAGGGAACCCCAAGAATGTAGCAGGATTATACTTAACCGGGTCCTCATATTCCTATCATATGCCTACTGTATTCTCGAGGTTTCTTGTTTGGGGTCCCCATTGCAGTCCTTTTGTTGAGGTTCTTCTACGTAGTTGGTTGTTGCCTTGCTCATACTGCTTGTTCAGCTAGCATAATCAAAGGCCAGGGCAGAGTACCGGTAACCTCGTTGCGTGTGTTGAGCGTCTTATATGGTAGTTTCTGACAATGAGGGTCCCATACTTGTAGCTGCCTGTTTATGGAAACCTGCATATTCCTCATGTAACTTCAACACAACACAAACCAAAGCTGCATTTGAGTTCGTTAGCCCTTCCTAATTTTTCCGCTTGTCGGTCACGGCTTCCTACGCCATAGCACTGTCAAATCTTCCTAAGCCCAAAACCCCAAATTTCTTTCACGCCCAAGAACCTCCATCCTAAACTCAGCTCTCTCTATTCATGAAGCTGAGACCTTAACTCTAACCTTTGGAAACTGCTGAGATCTCCAGGGAATTTCGCAAAAAACTCCCTACAGAATCTTCAAACGGGACCCCCAGAATCTGCATCTAGCCCATATCTGTCCACAACCTCCCCCCCACCCTACCAGCCTCAACCCGAAGCTGCAGCTTGAGTTAACCGGACAGACTTTGTTTGCCGTGCCTGCTGAGTGCGATGCGCGTGTCTAAACCCGAAGCCTACCCACCCCGTAAGATTTTGGATAGTATGTAGAGTGTGGACGTATATGCTGAGACCTTACTACCACCCTCTTTACACATTGTTCTGGGGTGGGGGTAGTATCCAACCTATTACCCCAATATACTATAGCAGTTTCCATTGTATTTTCCATTATCCCCATACAACCCCAATATACTGTAGCAGTTCCCAAGTTATTTTCCATGATCCCTACCCTAAACCCTAAACCCTGAACCCATCACCTTTAGGCTTTTGGAAGTGATCATGGTGCTGCTCTCGTCAGTCGCTTGTGTTGAAATGGGTGGTTGTCAAAATGATGGTCCCTTTTTGGATCCCTATTGTAATACGGCACCTAATAGTTATTTAGGGTACCCAAAAAAGGACCATAATGTTGACAACCGCCCAAATAGGGGCCCCTTTGGGTACAGGGATTTGGTTTCTGTACGGGGTTGCAGTCTGTGGGGTTTAGCGGTTTAGACTTGGTGTGTGTCTGTCTCTGTGTGTGTGTCTCTGTGTGTGTGTGTGTGTTTGTGCGTGCCAAAATGGCGTCCTTGCTGAACTGCGCAATGTTCAAACATGCTTGATTCTGGAGGATCCTACCTATCACCCCAATATACTATAGTAGTTTCCATTTGATTTTCCATTATCTCCAGATAACCCCAATATATTTGAATCTTATCTTAAGGCAGCCTCTATCATGCAGCAAAGCTGTATTAACCGCATGCTGCAACATACGTCACACGAAAAGCACCACTCCGAACCAAAAGCTAGTCCAGCGGTGCCTTTTGCGCTGAGAACTTCACATTGCAATGCGCGGTTGAGAGATGTGACAGGTGTCAGCGGATGGTTCAACATCAGGGGCGCATCAAAATCCAAACGGCTCAGTCTAGAGTCTAGCTTTCCCACAACAACCCTATTCAGATCAATTGGGCCCCTAGACCCTCCCCCCACTGGCACCACTGTTCTTCTGAATGCCGAAAGGCCAAGGTTTGCAATCTCTTGCCCTTTGTTCTCCAGTCACCTTTTGACCAATACTCCTGTACAATACATGGAAGAAGACAACTTTTTTTTTGCATGTATAACTATGAAAATGTATCCGTGTATGTATACCGTAGGAGCATCCCAAATGGAGTCGTCCAAAGAAGCCTCCAATGACGCCAGCATCCTTACGTATCAGCCTTGCGGTGGGGTGTCCTGGTAAGGCATAGTTTCTCAAACTGACATAATTTGTACATAACATATACATATGGATATGTATATGCATCAGGCCATTAGCACAGGCGATGCTCGGCGTCAGCCGAGGTGGTGGGAAGGTTTTCCTTTGGGGCAGCAATCGTCACGGACAGCTGCTCAGCCTTTGAAAGCACCTTTTTTTCCGGTCGGCGCAAAGTCTAGACTTTAAGGTTTCTGCAAGTTCTTCCTCTCAAGGACTGGGAAAATTTTGGAAGCCCATGGTGCAACGTGCAGTCAAGTAGACTTATCAGTAGTGTAACGTTTAGTTGCTCTTTCTTCGGGGGAAATCCTTGTGGCAGTTTTGCTAGCATCACCACCATAGTCCATGCCAAGCCCTCAAAGGCAGACCCTCTTACTGTAAAGCCGGCCCCCGGAAGTCCCGACAGGGAATGCCCCAACACCCTAAACCCTAGAAATGAACCCATTCTTCCAAGTTTGGGGGTCCCAGAAGATTCATGACGGTGATATAATACTTGTATAGGGGTTCTTCCAGAAGCAATCAATGGCCGAATCTGAAACTCTGAAACCCTAAAAAAGTGGCAAAGCCTGAGGCTTGGGCGAGGGCATATGGACAAGGCTGGCTACCGAAAGCTGACCGTAAGGGTCCAACTCGCCACGAATTAGGCATTAGTTACCAAATTCCATGACAATCTTAAGGTTTTTAGCACCCAAAACCACGTTTCGTGCGCGCTTGGACTTTTATGGAGAGTGTAGGGCTTAGGGTTTGCTGTTTAGGGTTCAGAGTAAGGTTTCAAGTTTAACTGAATGTCGCCGCCAGCTCAATGAAGCTTTTTTTTGAATGTGTGGGCCGCGATGAACTCTGCTGTAAGGATATCCTGCATCTTTGGCTTCTTGCATCTGCGTTCACACCCAGCGATCTCTAGGGAAACGGGGTAGATCTGTAAGTTCCTCGAAGAGAACCCTAGCCCTAAACCCAGAACCATCAGCGCAGGAGTATGCCAGCAACCCCCCCAAACAGTGCTCGCAAATTCGAGCTCGCGCCTCAGTCAATAGTTTGCATAACTAGGCAGCAGCAATATAAACCCAATTCTCCCCTAAATTTTGGCATTCTTGCAGACGCCACATCCTGACGGAGGCAGACGTGAAGCCGCAAGAAATCACACTGCCATCGCCGGCGGTGCAAGTCGACTGTGAGGACCAGCACCTCAGCCTGGGAGTGGTGTTAG